AGAATCAGGGACATGATCCAATCTATGTAAGAGAACACGCAACACGCCCCTGTGTAAGAGGATGAATGACATGACCAATCTGTGTCAGAGAACCTGCAACACGTCTCAGGTGGCATGAGAGAACAATGCAACCTACCCTAACTTCTGGAGAAAGGCTGATGGGACGAGAGAGAGCGTGGGTGGTGGAGGCAGTGAGTAAGAAATTGCTGCTTTTTATTTGAAAAGGTCTGTGCAGGTCTTCTTGCAGGGCTAGGATGAGAAATTAGCATGAGAAAGTGCAGTGCAGCACTGAAAGAATGCTGTGTGTTTTCCCAAGACCCTTGGACTTGCCAGAGGACGTGTGAATGGCAGCCTTCTGAAAACAGTTTGTCACAGCAGTTGTTAGCTCGAGCCATATCTCATCTGCTCCTTTGTTTCTCTTTGAATCGACTTCCTGGAATTGTTAACAATCTGTGTTTTTCACTTGCCTTAGAGACGTTTAACAACCACAGACTGTTTTTCAGGTCATTACAGGGGAGGGTTTTTGGATAAACTATATAAATTGTAGGCTTTGGGTAAGTGGTATTGATCACTATTATTTGTACATTTTAGGACATGACAGAGTTTTGCGCATTCACATATTCAAGCACATTTACATTTCACCAGGAATAACAGCACCACCACAGCACCATTTAAAGACATGGAAAGGTTTGTGGAGAGTTTTCATTCACAATAAATTTGACTGCACCCCCCGGCAGGGTGAGGAGTGACCAAGCAGCAGCTGCAGAGTTGGAGATGGGGCGGAGGAGTGTCGCAATCTATGAATGCCAGGGAGAGAAGGTGATTACAAACAGTATCTTTAGCCTTTTAGGTAAGGAAATGAAGATAGGAGTGATTCCGAATATCTGACTGCTTCTGGACAAAATGGTCCTGGTGTAAAAATGTGAATGTGTCTGCGTCTATCCTGTGATGAACTGGAGTCCCATCCAGGATGTACCCTGCCTTGAGCCCATTGCTTGCTGGGATAGGCCCCAGCTCCCCCATGACCCTGAATTGGAAGAAGCACTTCGAAATTGAATGGAGTAAATGGAAGGTGGGATTGAAGTATAAGAACCTCCAAATAAGCAGAACTTTCTTTTCTAACACGAGGGTGACTCCTAGAGTCTTAAGGGAGAGCATTCCTGATTCTGTATTACAGTAGGTTGGCCTTAGAGAGGTAGGCAGCAGCAGGCTGGAAGCTCACAGGTCCGTATTTCAGATGGGATGCTGCTGTGATCCCCCTGATCCAGCTTCTTCACTCACATTACCCCACTGAGTGTCAATGATGGGTCCTCAATTCTCATGGCAAAGGAGACATTGTGTACAAAATAAAGGAATAATAGAGGAACAGGTGGGACACAACAGCGATGTCCTGTTAAGCTCAGGAGTGTGGTGTCCTCTTTAACACAGGAACCTTCCCTGACACTGTACTGTCTGTTTTACAATGCACTTCTCACTATCACCTTTAAATGTGAAACGTACTGCTTCACCAACTCTTAATGACTGTGCCCTGCATTCTGTGTGTCTTGCACTGGTCTGCTAGGCCTTTATTAAACTTTTATAATGCATGACTCAAGTACCAGCTGAAGCACCCATGCATAGCAAAGAACCCCTAAGCAGAGGAGTACAGCAGAAGAGCACATCCATCATTCAGGAGTTCAAAACGCAATTACAAGCACATAAATAAGTGAAGCTCACACAGGGGAGATGGGGACACTGTGTAGCAATGTTAATGAGAATTGCTCATTTGCCATTCAATAAAACTGCAGAACTGCACTGGGCTCAAACAATTATTTATTGAAAAATGCTAAGATACAATGCATAATGCATTTCTTATGTTGGGTGTCCCTGAAAGAAGGGGGTGATTTAAAAAAACAATTACCTGTTTTAGTCATTTGTACATTAAACAAAATTTGAAGGTAGTGCACCCTGCAAGACACAAGGTGGAGGCAGATTCATGACCTTCCATGTGACAGGTAACAAAACAGCTGTGCAGAGGGGGAAGGGGAGAGACAGGCTGAAAGATTGGGGTCAGCACCAAGACAGATCTCCCCCCTGCAAGATTAACATCTTAAATCCTCTTTAAACAAGCCACAGGAAGAAGACAGCTGTGCTCCTACTGCTCACACCCGTGGAGAAACGACAGGACGCGATGGGACTTTCTAAGAAAAGTGTCTGTGCGGCAGTGTACATTGTACAATCGGGCCAAAAACAGGACAGAACAATCCGGCGATGAAAGCCATTCAAATTCAGGTCAATAGAGATCTTAGACTGTGGATAAAAAGAAGCAAGCCTTTGGGACGACCACAATCAGGCACACTCACGCATGAGCATCTAGGTTAATTGCACGGAGAACAGAAATGGCCGGAAGTGCAGGCAGTACAGTACGTCAGCCCTGCCCATCTCCACTGCAGTGCACTCAAATCACACGCCAGGTCCTGAAGACACATATTGCAATCCATGGCCACCTCACAGGACCTTAGAAAAGATGTGCAAAGCTGCACAATTCTGCCAAAAACAGCCTAATCTTCCCGCAGGGGACGAAAGTACGCTACAGAAAGTGTAACATTTTCACTGGCTCGTAATGAATAAAAGTAAAAGAGACGGCAGGAGAGGCTGTGTGAATCTCTATGAGACACGCGAGTCCTTGTCAGCTTCTGGACGGAGTCTGTTTGCAGGTGACCGGATACGATACTGTAAAACTCTTGCACATGCCTGTGAGCAGCCCCAGATCATGGGACAGCTTTTATCACGACAGCAGAGCACAAGCAGGACAGCACAGCGAAAACACCTGCGCCCTGATCGAAACCCGTGGTCGTGTTTTACTTTCAGTCCTTGTGCCGGCTGTCTTATATATGTAACAATATGAGAAGGGCTACAGACGAGATTATGCTATTTGCCGCATTCAGCCCATTTGGTAGTCGGTAATCAATTGATCTGCGGGTCTGATCCTGCAGTTTCTTAAAAGAAACCAATCTATCGACTTCAGCAACAGGGCAGGGTAAGTTGTTGAATACTCTCACGACCCTGCGGTCACGTCCAAACCCATCGCTCCATCGTGGTGACTCGGAACGCCTTGTTGTTCGGCAGCGATCGCCAAGATATGGCACCATTAAGATGTGGCGCAGCTGGCAAAGCAATTTGCTGTTTGGTACATCTTCGCCTCGCCTGCTGTGTCTGTGGAGTCGGTGTGGCACTGCGCTTCGGCGGCGGACGAGCGCTTTGTTCAGAAGAACAGCACGAATACAACTAATTATCATTAAAAACAGTCAGTCCGGAGATCAATCACAGCCTGGAAGTGTGTTCCTGTATCGCTACTGCGCGCCGTGACGCTTAAGGAATAAAGCAGTGAAGGGAATTCGAAAGGATATGATATGAGAGCATGTAATGGCCTTGGTCATTATATTAAAAGCATATCTCTTTTTTAACTCCCTGAAGCGCACTTCTGTCAAGACGCTCACAAAACGTGCGCTCTGCAGACACGGAGTGACTGTGAGTCAGTCTGACCTCCTGATCGCTCGACCTTCTGCGGTTCCGGGTGTTATCGTTTTCTTGAAAGCTCTCTCTAAAGATCGCAGGGTAAAACTCCGCCAGCCCAGCCCCACGCCGGGGAAGTTCGGCTAAGGCAGATACGTCCGCCCGCTGTACGTACCTGGTACCGCTAAGTGCTTCAGAGGCATCGAGGACAAAGCCGGACAGAGGGAACCCATCCAGTCTGCGTTAGAGCAGACACTGCCTTTATCCGCGATCTTCATTTTTCTCATCCAAATGGCCAAACAGTCCGGGAGAGATGACTGACACCTGTAGTGGTAACTACGTCGATATCCAGGCTAGATCAGGGAGACTGACACCCCGGGAACTCATTTCCCCTGGTGCGAGGGGCACCTCACCTGGGCTCCACTCAAAGGCAGCCTTCCACGGGACTCGGATCACCGGCAGCCGGGCAAACGGGCTTTGCTCACGTTAATCTCCTTAGTCCGAAATTACACTACTTATCCCCTAGATCAAATTTAGAAAACCTATGGGTCTAAGACAACTCAAGATCATCCCTCCCTTCTCTCTCCCTCTCACACAGACGTCATTGGGAAAAAAAAAAACCTCTCCTCTGCAGGACCGTTTTGCTTTACGCGATGACACTACACACCGTCGAGGCCGGTTAGAGAGCTCCTCCGTGTCAAACAAGGTTAGGATGTCTAAGAGTAGAACCGTAATGCACGGCGAGAGCGGTACTTACTCTTCTGAAGAGATGACTTTTTCTGTTTTCTTTCTTAAATACCGCCGGTGTGTGGGCACCTGTATAGCAAAAAAAAACATAAAAAACAAACAAAACAGATCAATATTGGAGCACGTGAACCGTATCCACCGCGGTAGCTCGAGCTACGGGCTTAGATCGTAAAAAGGTACATCATGGACACGACCGTCATCGGAAGAAGACGCGGAGTTCCCCAGTGGCCCTGCCTGATGTTCACCAGGAGATGGCGCAGGAGGACTGCAGATCCGAGCGACCCACGCTCACGAGGGACGCGTGCGGTGCTCGGAAGAGCGCTGAAAGTACGACACAGCCTTGACTTTTAATTGTCTCTTGTTGGGGGTAAAACAGCGGCTAAGATATTCGTGTCCCGCTTCATCGCCCTTTGATTCATTACTCAGAGGCTGTGTTTTTTTTTCTTTTCTTTCTGTGCCCTTTTGCAACACAGCCTTTTAAAACCCATCTCAAGGCGCCGGTTCTCTTACTGTGGAAAAACTCCCCAGCGGGCTGTTTGTAAACACGCCCTTGAATCATAGACGTCTAGATGGAAAACCTCATGGAAAGGTCTTTATAGCTTAATGGCGTTTAAATGTTCCTGTAATTGCCTTAATGCAAGACACTGCTCGTTCTTTTGTGTTCAGGTGAACTTTCTTGAAGTCATTTTCAAAAGGGACACCTGGAGCCGCGGAGCCCCGGGGCATCGTCTGAGCCGCTCTGGGCTCTGGAAACCTTTTTTCCCCACATTAAAAAAAAAAATCAGTTCTGCCATTTCGCAGCCGCTGGATGACATTTAGAAAAAAAACGCAGCAGTTGGTGACATCCGTATGTAAAGATACAGAGTCAAGCCTCGCAGAATCTAAGCTACATGTTGTTGTTGTTTTAAAGCAGTGTACATTATACAAAAGAAGCAACGACTCTTGTAGGTCACGATTAGGAAAATAACAACAACCTTTGACTGCTGTGACAATAACATCTTGCCAGACCACTGTTGTGCCTTTCCCTGTTTCCCCTTGAATAGCGGACTGCAGCAGCGGGCCAGACTAGGCTGGTGTACGGGCTGGTTTCAGACAGCAGGGGGCGCAGTGATGGCTTCCAGGCAGCTTGAGTGTCGCCTTATTATTAACTATTAAATGTAAATCATACAACCCCAGAATCAAACCCAGGACACTGAAGCAACGAAGCAGGAGACAGAAGTTTTGCATCTAATACTCAGACAATTGCATCTGTATGTGAAATACTTTTAATACTAAGGACATTTAACTCTCAACAAGCCAAACCCCCTACTTAAAATGCTGCTCCCTAAATTTTAGTACTTAATTACCCTTTATTTTCATTGAAGCTTACATGACCAGATGTAGAGCAAGATCTGAACTATCATTGTCGGAACTTCCGTTTGAACCAGAAAATAACGAGTGCTTATGTTTCTGTTGTCTAGAGAGAGAGAGAAAAAAAAAAAAAAACAACATCACGGTTTCACAAATGAAAGCTGTCCAGCCTCTGCGACTTGTGGTAAAGTAACTCAAACCTATCCCTTATTGCTGAGCGCTGAAACGGGCGACTTCCTGTGTGAAAACCCCTGACCAGAAGCGCACTAGCACAATGATGATGCCACAGTTCGACTTGCAGCGCTGCAGCGCGGCTGGCATGCAGGTGTACGGGGCGATGGACTGCCCGGTGTATCACGGGAGCATCAGCAGGCAGACCTGCGAGGAGCTGCTCTCCAAGAAAGGCAAGGACGGAGCCTTCCTGATCCGCGACAGCGAAACGATTTCGGGGGCTCTGTGCCTCTGTGTCTTGTAAGTACTCACTGCGACGTGGGAGAAACCTGTCAGAGTCAGACTGTTCCTACGTTCTGATTTACAATTAGCCACTTAAGAAGTGCTGGTAGGCTTGAATGATTTGTTCCACATTTTCAGAATAAAAAAAAATCACGGATATACTCGCATTGAAGCAGAGAGATGTAGAGAGATTTTATGGAACAAGTGTTCGGTACCTGCGCTTGATGTACAGAACACGCAGACATCCTACAAACTGAATGTTTGTACTGAAGAGCTTTTTTTAAAAAGAAAAAAATCAGTGCTATGGAATAAAATCTTTAAATAAATTCTTTTGGAAGGCTCCTTTGTTATCTGAGAAGTTTAAAAGTCAGATACAAAGGCACAGATACAAATGGTATTGTAACGCCACCTGCTCTGGTACGCCGGCTCTTACACAGTACCTGTCGGCCGTAAGCGTTACACTATTATTTTTTCTTAATTATTGTATTCTTTTTTTCTCAAACACTATGCATGAACACAAAATGTACCCAACAAAGTCCCTATTAACAGGGCCAGAGCAGATTCACTCTTTAATAAGATTGGATTATTCTGTCATTCTACAGGTTCAGCACTAAACACTTCTAAAGCACTCTTCTTGAGAAAATCCGTCTTTTATTTTTTGTGTCTTTCATGACGTTTTAGGTAATACTAAATACTAATACTAATGGACAAGAACTTACAATATATTTTTATATCACCTTGATGAATCCAAAATGCCCAAAAAGATGGCTAACTGTAGATGTTTCCGAATGAAGATGCACCGAGAAGCACAGAGAATTTCAAAATTGCTGATCTCTTTCCTATAAATTCTGACTGCAAGTTTGTGAACACAACATCAGACAGGAAGGTATCATTATTCAGGTCCTTCTTGGGGGAAAAAAAGTTTTTGAAGAGGTGTAATGTATGAACATTGTAGCATGCCAGGAAGGCTGGGTCCTGATCTGAAACACACAGAATTCCTAGATCAGGACTGACAGACACCAACATTCCTAGATGTTCAGAGCTTCTGTGTCCAATTGGAGACCCACCTGTTTCCTCCATCCATGGAATGCGTGTTTTGTAGTTTGCACTGTTCTATGTCTTTCCTTTTTTCCCTTTTTGTGAAAGCATTTTTCTGGGAGCAAATTTTGATTTGTAATCTTCAAGTGCTCTGGTTTGGCACAGCGTGAATCCAGGCTGCTGGGATTTTGGCCTCAGTAGCTCTGGGGAAGGTAGATTGAGCACAGCCTGTGCCCCCGCAGCTCACTCAGGGAGAGAGCTCCTTCTATACTGAAAACAAGCATGTTGCACGCTGTGAGAAACTGTTCTGCACTCACACCTTGGCTTTGTTTGTCACGGGTCATTTTCACAGCGTTGCTCTTCTAGAAATCAGGTGATTTGAAGAAAGACGTTACACAGCTTCAAAGCTGTGTTCATTTCACGAATGGTGATCAATTCCTTCTGGGGTTTGAAATTCTGCTTGGTGTTGCTAAGCTCTCTAGTTACAGTGATAATGCTTTAATTAAAGATCCTCCCCAGCAAAGACCCCTCCAGGCCCAGGGAAATCTTGGGATTGTGATCTGCAGTGTGTGCAGGTGTTGTGTGGCCGTCATGCCATCCAGTTTTGATTAGTTTACTTCTGAATCTCGAAACTCACTTTTTGTGCTTAAATTGCGATGACTGTGGCGTGTGGCACTGTTTAGAGCAGTGGTTCCCAGTCCTGATCCTGGTGACACCTGCTGGTTTTCATTCCAACCCACCTTCATGGGATCATTGAAGCCTCACTGGATCTAAGAAATTGCTTCAATTGAATATCTGCACTTTGTTTGTAGTCACACATATGGGATTTTATTTCACTTACAAAATACAAAGGTTAAAGTTCCAACATGTCTAAGAGCTGGGAGCAAACAGTTCACATGAATCTGATGATAAATCTGATTCATCTGATTATTAGCAAGTCAATGAAGGGCTTGATTGTGGAGCTGAAGGCTCGACTGGAACAAAACCAGCAGATGTGTGTGGGGCACTGGGACCAGGACTGGGAACCAGCCCTGTCGTGGGGAATGAATGGTGACAGGATCTGGAACATGTTTTATTAGAAAACATGGCACATTTGTTCATCGTGAAGCTAGTCTGAGGAGGATAGATTGGGGAGCTATCACATGAAGACGTTCCCGCTGCTGAAACTCTGTCTTTTTGTTTCCTGTCCAGCAAGAAGAAAGTGGTCTACACATACCGAATCCTCACGAACCACGCTGGATATTACACCTTACAGGTAAGTGACGGACACATACGCAAGCTGTCTGACACACGCACGGAGCACAGGCAGCCCGCAGAAATGAACAGTTCACGAGGGAATCTGAAATACACCAGTACTGTGAAGCGCGTGTGACAGAGTAGAGGTTGTACCGGGAACGCCACAAAACAGCAGCTAGTGCATCACGAAACCCCTGATTAAAGGACACAGTTGAATCTGGACTATGAGACGGATCACAGCAATAAGTACCATGATGAAACAGAATCACCTGAAAAGATTTATCACAACAATATAATCTGGAAAAAAAGACTTCCAAATTAAAAAGACCTCCACTTTAGGCACTATGTAAATAGCTGGGTGAAACTACCAAATACAGAGCAAGGAAATACATTGCTCTGTATTTTTATAGCTTCTTACCAGCAAAGCGACCAGAAGAAAATGATCTCAAAACTGTATAATATCATTGAAGATATGAGCAAAGATTCAACGGGATGTATTTAAATAAAGTGGTAAAAAATAGAACAGTGTCTGCTGAACAGTGGAAGAATACGTGCAGATATCATCAAAGCTCCACGTCAGAAAAATTTGACTTGTTTTTTTATCGGTCCTACAATTCAAACCAAAAAGGAAGCAGTTCACAATGTTAGAGGTTATGTGTAGAGCAAGTAGCAACTCATTTACACGTATTCTAGTCCTGCCTGAAAATACAGTACACCAACACTGGAAATTCACACATTTTGCTCTTAATAATATAGAAAACCTAGACAAACCATTTGAATTCTCTGTCATGTATTTGGGTAATGTTACTTTTGACCACTTAGAAGTAAAGGATAGAGATATACTAGGAATTCTTTTAGCTGCCAGTCACAAGAAAATGGTTTGCTAACTCCCAACATCAGAACAATGGATCAATGTTGTGAAGGAGATTTTTATAATGGAAAAGATCACATTTTCTCTTCGGTTACCAATGGAAATCCTGGTAAGCCTGGAGTGGGTCTGTGGTCCCATTGAGACCCGATTTTGTTCCGTGATAGAGGACGTAGCAGTGTTTTGTCTAGATTGCTGGTTATTTGTTGTGTTACTGCTGAGTGTATGTCGAAATGTAACCTCCCATCTATCCTGGCTTAACATACAGTAAGCAGTTAATTACCTAAAGAACACAATGTAGTCGTGAAAAGAAAGGTGAAAGCAGTAAATTATTTCACTCCGTATACAGTATGTTTTATTTGCAAATCCTTTCATCGGTAAATAGTCAAAAAAAGTCATACGAATAGAAGATAACATTGATTTAAACTCTCTTCAAATGTTTTACATTTAGAAAAGGTCTCACCTTTTTTTCTGGGAGTAAAACACTGTACAATTCTGGCAAAATCACAGTTCAGTGCACAGAGGCTCTGCAAAGCTTGGCCAGCAGCAGGGAATTAATAATAATGTTTCTTTATTAGCCCTATACAATTTCTTGCATTAGGAATTTGTCTTTTTGCATACCCCAGCTTTTCTCCATGGAGACACAGACAGGGAGAGAAGCTTGGGGTCAGACATTGTACAGTGCCCCTGGAGCAGTTGGGATTAAGGGCCTTGCTCAGGGCCCCAACAGAGTAGGATTCCTCTGCCAGCCACGGGATTTGAACCGGCAACCTTCCGGTCACAGGTGCAGATCCTGAGCCACAGAGCCACCGCTCCGCCCAAATTGAATTGAGCAGATAGTCATTCGCAAGACAAGCAGCACACAGATTTGACACATCTGTTTTCATTTCTCAAAAAGTGAGATGAGTAATTGGATCTCTGGCGAAGGAAAAAAATGTTCATTGTGTCTGGCTATGATACAGTGTTACTCCCACCTCGTGTATGTGTATGTTCATCATCAGTTGGTCCACTTTAAGATACATGTAGTCGGAAATATCAGCAGAGAGGCTGCATCACGTTCAGTGTGCTGAAGCTGTCGGAAAAGCATGTTACCATTGAAGCGGAATAAGTTTGACACTCAAGAACCAATTAACAAGTAAATGAAAATCTAAACACGCAAGCAGATTAATTAAGTGATCAATGAGCACTGGAGAGGTACAGTAGAGCTTAGCTGGAATGAAAGCAGCAGACAGTGGTTCTCTTGCAGACATCCTCTGAGCTAACCGTGATGGCTAGTTCAGAGGCCCAGACTGGCCATCAGGAGGGGGACGTTGCTTTACAAAATTGTTGGGCTGGTCATTAAGAACAGGGAGAAAAGTAGGAAACTTGATCAAATACTGGGCATTGTTGTTCATTTTTGCCTATTGTACATTCTTCAGTTAACTAGGATATTGAAGAACTCCACCTTAAATGGGAATCTTACAGAGCAAACATAGAAGAGCACAGTCTGCTCTCAGCAGGTCTGCAGAACTGTCCTCACCAGCTAGTCAGAGTTAAGGTACAGCTGGTCCTTCCTATCTGTTTTAATAATCTCACAGCCACATTGGTTAGTCTGTGTGGACTACAGACCTTATCAAGTGTGTTTTTTAAACTGCAGTGAGTTCTGAAAAAAAGCCCTTGTTAACCAAGGCAAAGAAATAGACCCCAGAGCTCAGTTCAGGGCGCGGTGGAGTGTGAATTCATATCACAGTCCACTGAGCATACCCCGGCTTGACTTTAAGGCACCGTGTGCATAGATTTATTCTCTGACTGAAGGAAATAGCTAAAACATTTTAAGTCTTTGATATTATATTGCAATAGGCTGTTAAAGAATTACAGTATAAACACAATTATGAATATAAACACTTTTTTTAATATTTCAGCTGGCCTGGTATGTTAATGTTATGTAAGTATTGTGTAATTTGTGTGAATAAAAGTTAATTAAATCCAGGGATTTCTATTATCTCTGAATGCGAGGTTTCTTATTGAGAAAGAGAAAATATTTCACACCATTGCTATTTGTCTATAATGTGTCTATAATGACATAGTAGAAGCTCACTTTTAAATTTTACAACATTGAAAAACATTAAAAGAAGCTATGAGAAAAAAACTGTCTTAGGTTGCTGCTTCCATTTGGTATTGCATATTTCCAAAGGATTTATATAAAATGAACTTGTTGATCCATATGTACATTAAATAAATTTGTTAACTTACATCAGCGCAGCTGTATGTTGATACTCTGCTGTGCAAAAAAAACCCACAGCTTTTTGCAAACATGCTGAAATTAAAATAAATTAAAACTAATTTTAAAATAAAGTAGTCAAAAATCCTGAATGTATTAAAAAATAAATGAGTAAAAACATCATGGTCATGTGTCTGTGCATATAGAACTAATTGTGTTGGACTGGGGGTAAGAGCACTTTTTTTAAATGATGAAGGTGTTTGCTTGGAGTCTGCTAATCGGACTTTCTGCTGTTCGGTTGTCATAGAGATGTGAGGTATTGAAAGTTGATTTGGCGTATGTCTCTCGCCGGGCTGAGGGGATGGTAGCCAGCCTGTGAGGGTGAGGCTGACAGGACCCCTGTCTTCACAAGGAATGAGCCAGGGAGCTGCTACGAGGGTGAAGATGGGTGGAAAGGAGGGCTCAACTGCATGTGTAGGAGAGAGGATGTGGGTGAGATCTCGAATTTGACCTCTTCCTGAGAAGACGACAGAGACAGACAGGACAGAAGGTGCATGTCAGTTATCCCTGTACGATGCCTTGCAGACCTGATACAGTACCCTGATACAGTACTTAATGTATAAAGGTCTGAATACTTTTGTAAGCCACTGTATTAAAAATGACTAACTTACATTATAAACCAGGATCAAAAACACCATCTCATTAATAATGTGTCAATAAAGCCAATCGTTCAGATCAAACTCGCGCTGTAGTTAGGAAAAACAATATTTTTTAATTTAAAGAATTTACACTTTCAAATATTATCCATCCAGGTAAAAACAAAAAAATCCCCGTAAAAAAAAAAAAAATAAAAAAAAGATGTGATGGCTATGAAAGAAATGTTTGTCTTTGAGTGATTAAATAACCAGCTCAAAAAAGCAGAAGCAGGACTGCCTTCAGGGTGTAGAGTTAGAGACAGATCCAGTGGTTTGCTTAGTGGTGTAGCATGTTCTTACAAAAGCGAGTATTTGCTGTCTCTCTGAGCCGCAGGCTGTGCTCTGTGCTGAAAAGCTGATCGGTCGAGACAGGACAGCCAAAGCCATGCTGCTCACAAGCATGTTAACTGGAAACAAATTCACTTGTACCAGTTACATACAAAGCAATGCAATCACCGATGTGCTACATAGGAAATATAATGACGCGTCAATATTACTCCCAGACCTCCACTCTTTTATCTTGGCCAGCAGCCATATCACCCTGCAACTCACAACTGGCAGCCCACTGAAGCTCAACAGTGTGAGCCTGGTCAGTACCTGGATGGGAGACCTCCTGGGAAAAACTAAGGTTGCTGCTGGAAGAGGTGTTAGTGGGGCCAGCAGGGGGCGCTCACCCTGCAGTCCATGTGGGTCCTAATGCCCCAGTATAGTGACGGGGACACTATACTGTAAAACAGGTGCCGTCCTTCGGATGAGACGTTAAACCGAGGTCCTGACTCTCTGTGGTCATTAAAAATCCCAGGGTGTTTCTCGAAAAAAGTAGGGGTGTAACCCCGGTGTCCTGGCCAAATTTCCCATTGGCCCTTACCAATCATAGCCTCCTAATAATACCCCTCTATGAATTGGCTACATTACTCTGCTCTCCTCCCCACTGATAGCTGATGTGTGGGGAGCGTTCTGGCGCACTATGGCTGCCGTTGCATCATCCAGGTGGATGCTGCACACTGGTGGTGGTGGAGGGGAGTCCCCATTACCTGTAAAGCGCTTTGAGTGGAGTGTCGAGAAAAGCACTATATAAGTGTAAGCAATTATTATTATTATTATTGTCTTATAGCATGGAACGTGACATAAAACAGACATGCCAATAGCACAGGCAGACACACTCCTGAGTTTTAAGTTTTCAGAGTTTTCCTTCTGCGCTCTTAATGACTTCATTGAATCAAGTAGTAGCTTCATTGGTTCAAGTTAGCACGATTTCTAAGCCGTTTAGCCACTGAACAGTTGGAATCTTGTTTAGAACCCACAGCACCTAGGTGTGCCAAGCACCAGGAGTGAGAAGCACTGGATCATGTGGTAGCTGGAATGCAGTGAAAATGAGTTTTTCATTTATCTGATGGGCAAGGTCTGACGAGGGATGCACAATGATGTTCGGGCCTGAACACGCATGGATTTCACGTGCAATCGCAATGTTCAAGATTTTGTTCAGTTGACAGAAAAGGCTTTCGCAAAGACAAAAGGGATCTTGTTTTGAAAGAGTTCATAGATGAGATGTGCGTGGCTGGATTGCAGCCTGTCTCACAGGAGGTTCTCCAATGATCTTCCGGTCACAGCCTGCTTGTGCAGGAGTCAGATCTAAGTACTAACTGTAGTGGCTGGGTCCTTCAAGTCACGATGGTTGTCACCACAGTGTTTCCCAGGACCTGTGTTCCATGTGACAAAGGAAAAACCCATTAATCAGCTGTGCAAGACATGTCTCTGTATTTGCATGAGGGTTCTTAAGGAGAGAACTTGCATAGAGCATAGTGTTCTGGCGAGGAGGAAGGGTGTACCCCCAACCTCGTGATTAGGATGCATGAAGGTGTGTGAGCTGTGCACACAGAGCTGGAGGCGGAGCACTGCAGAGCGAGGTAAAGCTGAAGAGCACTGCGGCGTGAAACGCTGGCCAAGTATTCCGCTAGCCATGGACTCTTTAGACCTGCTGGTTTGTACTGCTGAAGCGCTGCATTAATTCACCGCTGAACTAGAGAGGCCGTACACGCCGAGACTGGGACTTGTGCAGCTAGCCCTGCCTAATCATCTCTCGCACCCTCGTCTGGTGGTTGTGTGGTTTTCTGACTGAGTGTGAAGGGCGCTTTTAGATTTTAGCATCTTTTAATCTCAAGCCTCCACATAGAATGTAAAACGTGAGCTTCCATATGCCTTTCAGACTATTAGAAACTATAATAATAATAATAATAATAATAATAATAATAATAATAATAATATAGTCCGCAGCCGTGAATCAGAGAGTGAATGAGTTAAGTTTCTCCGCTGGTGTACTGTGGTTAGCTGTAGATTCAGGCAGATAGGTTTTACCTGAGGACCTGTTTAGGACAATATAATCCTAATTAAGTTATTTACGGCGCCTTCATCTCTAGCGAAACAGAATCTCGGTGAAAATGGAGCAGAATTTGATCATTATGTACACGTTTTGTACACTACTCTTTCGCTGGAAAAGTCGTGGTGACAGTCAAAGAAAATCCACAAATCCTTGTTTTTAAAATTTGATATTAAATGTTTTTTTTTACACATTCTTTGCGTCGAATTAAGATATTTTTCACACGGCAGCTTGCTTTGTTTTGGAGTTTCGTGGGTTTTATTTTCGATTTTATACAAATTGAAACATACAGTATAGGCACAGACTACGACAGTAAAGACATTTTGTCGATGTATTAAGTCAGTTTGAGACAAACCAGTGCGGGTGATTCTGTTCGGCCGCGCCTTGCCTGTTGTTGACTGTGCCCAAGCGTGTCAAAGTGTGAATCAGAGTGCTCGTGTCTGTACTGTGCTGGTTTTCGAACCAGTTCAGAAAACGAAGCAGTTTGAAGTGGCTTGGATACAGTTACTGCAAGAAACAGAGTAAAAAACACAGAGCATGTGTTCCTGTTTCTATGCCAGCGATGCAAGGCAATCAATCCAGCAACATACTGTATACTGTACAATGGCAATGACACGTGCGAACGCAGTGCTGATGCGATTTAAGTTGGGTTACTTTAAAAAAATCATAATTACTATACTTCACACCAGTCTCACACAGACGCCCACCCTTTGCCATCCAAATCAACAACAACAACAAAAAAAAAACCCTATATAGCTAAGTGCAATAACACGGGAGCTGGCTCACAAAATACAGGTATGTATTGAATTGTAATATGAATTCTACTTTTGTTTTAATAACAGAGGGACAATTAACTTACTAAAAAACATAAAGTTAAACTACGCACCCATGAGGGAGAAGCGTGTCTTTCTCATTTATGAAAACATGTATTGATTCACCTGTGCATATACAGGATGTATAATATGTTCTATGTTTTAATGTCCATATTGTAACGCATACGACCGACATCGCAGGTCGTCCCATCGCGGTGACGTCTCCGCCCTTCCCTGTGAATAGCAGGGACCTCAGCCGCCGGGCTGAGGGGAGATTTCCTTTAGTTTCCCTTTAGGTCCCTGTTGAGTGACGCCGGAGGCCCGGGTCCGAGACCCCAGTGGTGGGGGGGCCGACATGAGGTGGAAGGGCGAGGGCGCATACCCCCGTGAACCCGAGAGCGCTACAATATTATTTATCGTATAAATTCACAACGTGCGAAAACATTTTATAACAATACATACAGATCTGAAAACCACGCTTTTATACCTCTCATTCCCGTTCGGTGTGATGCTTGTTTAATTGTATTAAAGTGTCATTATTTGCAACGTGGCGAGATTTACATTGTTATCAGGTCTCATGCCGCAACCGATTTATAGTTCATTTTTTTTGCGATAACGTAATTTAATCAACACCGAAAGCGTCAGCACATCTTTCAAGTTAGCAGCGATACTTTCATCCGCAGCCATACAAAAAAAAAACTTGTTAGAAAACGGCAGGAACTCATCTTCAATGCCTTATAATCTCTCTGAATATAGAAGAAAATTACGACTGTGAAATCCAGTCGTGAAAATATAGCTATTATGAGTAGTATTACAAGTACATAAAATTACATTATTCAATTAAATATTGTAAAGGGTGTCTACGCTTCTGGATTCTCTTGGGATGAGGCAAGTCGCTTGTTTCAGAAGGTATCGATCAACTTGCAAGATTCACCTTAGATCTCCTTCGCCTTAATGTTAAAGAAGGATTTAATACACTGTATCTGCTGGGTTTACTTTCTGGAGTTTATAACAAAAGTTTGGGAGGGATAACAACAACCAAGCTCAATCAGACTCAGCTGTCAGTAACAATCCATTCCTCTCCCAAACGCTATAAATACTGTACCTACAGTATGAGATCCCTCTCTCATATGTCTCTTGCATCCCACCTCCACCTCTGCAGATGCCCCTTGGTCACCCTGCAGGGGGGTCCTGGTCCCCTTGTCCTCTGGCCAGGAGACCAGCCCTCAGCCAAGCGGGTTAAGCCACAGCTTCGCTCCATGACGCTTTCTTCTTGGGTGTTTGTCACTCATCGTGAAATGGCTACGCCCCGTGTATTCTTGCGCCAGGTCGCTGTGGATGTGGTGCTCTTTCAGCAGTGCGTTTCTGGTGGTGGCCCCGTATGATGACCAGGGCAACTGTTGTAGGGCAAAGAGCTGAGCTGTACTGTTTCCACAATATTCCAGCTAGGCAGCCTGTGTCAATAGACAGCAGTATAGCTGGGACACTGACCTGCAGTGGACTGTAGAGACCCATCCAGAGGCAGTCTAACACTGCTGGGACACTGACCTGCAGTGGACTGTAGAGTCCCATCCAGAGGCAGTCTAACACTCTGCTGGGACACTGACCTGCAGTGGACTGTA